AACTTCTTTTGAATAGGTTTCACAATCTTATTAGCTCTACTGCAAACCAATTTGGGTTTAAAACTAGCCATGGCACTGACACCTGTATATTTGCCCTAAAAGAATTAGTCAGTAAATATAAAAGCAAAAACTCCTCTGTATTCATGTGCTTCTTAGATGCGTCCAAAACTTTTGACCAAGTGAATCATAGGAAATTATTCCAGAAATTGTGTGACGCCCAAGTACCTAAATATATAGTGAGATGTTTGTCATATTGGTATGCGCACCAGACTATGTCTGTTAGATGGGATAATTGTATATCTGCACCTTTTCAGACCGGTAACGGCGTAAGACAAGGTAGTCTGCTTTCCCCAATTTTGTTTAATTTTTACATGAATGATCTGTCTAAAGAACTAAATATGTGCAGAATGGAATGTATGGTTGGTGACAAAGTTGTGAATCATTTAATGTATGCAGACGAATTTGTGATTTTTAGTCCCAGCTCAGCAGGTCTTCAGCAGCTCTTGAACGTGTGTTCAATGTCTGGGGAACGTCACGTTGTCAAGTATAATGCTGTCAAAAGTGTTATTATGATATGCCGTACAAATGAAGACAGGTCCCTTGTATTTCCTTCTTTTAAGTCATCTGATAATATTTTAACTGTGTGCAGTGAAATTAAGTGTTTGGGTCATTTCATTAATGATTGTTTGTCTGATGACAGGGATATATATCGTGGGATATATGCCGTATGTTGTACAGTGGTTACCCCCTTACTGATTTCTTATCTTTTTTGCATGTTTGTCACACTGTAATGTTTCAGGTCATCAAACAAATTTAAATATTAGTCAAAGATAACACAAGTAAACACATCATGCAGTTTTTAAATGAAGGTTTTTATTATTAAGGGAAAACAAAATCCAAAACTATATAGCCCTGTGTGAACAAGTGTTTGCCCCCCTGTCAAAACACTGGTTTATCGCACCTGAGTTCAATTTCTCTAGCCACACCCAGGCCTGATTACTGCCACACCTGTTCGCAATCAAGAAATCACTTAAATAGGACCTGCCTGACAAAGTGAAGTAGACCAAAAGATCCTCAAAAGCTAGACATCATGCCGAGATCCAAAGAAATTCAAAACCAAATGAGAAAGAGAATAATTGAGCTCTATCAGTTTGGAAAAGGTTATAAAGCCATTTCTAAAGCTTTGGGACTGCAGCGAACCACAGTGAGAGCCATTATCCACAAATGGCGAAAACATGGAACAGTGGAGAACCTTCCCAGGAGTGGCCGGCCGACCAAAATTACCCCAAGAGCGCAGCGACAACTCATCCAAGAGGTCACAAAAGACCCCACAACAACATCCAAAGAACTGCAGGCCTCACTTGCCTCAGTTAAGGTGAGTGTTCATGACTCCACCATAAGAAAGAGACTGGGCAAAAATGGTTTGCATGGCAGAGTTCCAAGACGAAAACCACTGCTGAGCAAAAAGAACATAAAGGCTCGTCTCAGTTTTGTCAGAAAACATCTTGATGATCCCCAAGACTTTTGGGATAATAGTCTGTGGACAGAAGAGACACAAGTTGAACTTTTTGGAAGGTGTGTGTCCCATTATGTGTGGTGTAAAAGTAACACCGCATTTCAGAAAAAGAACATCATACCAACAGTAAAATATGGTGGTGGTAGTGTGATGGTCTGGGGCTGTTTTGCTGCTTCAGGCCCTGGAAGACATGCTGTGATAAGTGGAACCATGAATTCTGCTGTGTACCAAAATATCCTGAAGGAGAATGTCCGGCCATCCGTTTGTGACCTCAAGCTGAAGCGAACTTGGGTTCTGCAGCAGGACAATGATCCAAAGCACATCAGCAAGTCCACTTCTGAATGGCTGAAGAAAAACAACATGAAGACTTTGGAGTGGCCTAGTCAAAGTCCTGACCTGAATCCAATTGAGATGCTGTGGCATGACCTTAAAAAGGCAGTTCATGCCCGAAAACCTTCCAATGTGGCTGACTTACAACAATTCTGCCAAGATGAGTGGGCCAAAATTCCTCCACAGCGCTGTGGCAGACTCATGGCAAGTTATCGAAAACGCTTGATTGCAGTTGTTGCTGCTAAGGGTGGCCCAACCAGTTATTAGGTTTAGGGGGCAAACACTTATTCACACAGGGCTATATAGTTTTGGATTTTGTTTTCCCTTAATAATAAAAACCTTCATTTAAAAACTGCATGATGTGTTTACTTGTGTTATCTTTGACTAATATTTAAATTTGTTTGATGATCTGAAACATTACAGTGTGACAAACATGCAAAAAGATAAGAAATCAGTAAGGGGGAAAACACTTTTTCACACCACTGTATGTACAAGCTAATGTACTGGCACGGAAATTTGGTGCATGCTCGGTGGGAGTAAAATTGGCGTTGTTTAAAGCTTATTGTACTTCCTTGTACACTGCCCATCTGTGGTGTAATTATAAAAAGGGCAGTCTTCGGAAACTGTCAGTGGCTTATAATGACGCCCTAAGGATATTATTAAAAAAGCCTAGATGGACGAGTGCTAGCGAACTGTTCGTGTCATCTCAAATTAGTACATTTTCCGCAGTTTTAAGAAACCTGATGTTTAAATTTATTTGTGGCTTGAATGGTTAAAAAAAATCATATTTTGTTGTTGACTAATGTTGCACACAGTGACGTGTTTTACTTCTGCTCTCTGGAAACACTGGTATGCCTGCCTTTTAAAGGGACAGTAGTTTTATAGGTGTTCTGTTCTCATTTTTATGTATTTTCTGTTTTTATTGTTTCATTTTAAACTGTTCTTTTATTGCTTTTTATTTGTTTCTGAACCTGGACCTTGAGTCTGTAATAAAGTGTCATTCATTCACTCTTACATTGTTGAACTACACTGTGTGCACAATTATTAGACAAGAGTACTTTGACAGTGTCATCCTTTTTATACATATGTTATTTGGATTTAAGCATATCAGGTGATGCGTATTTGTGTAATGAGGGACGGTGTGGCCTAAGGAGATCAACACATTATATGAAGGTGTAGATACTGGGGCATGATCACAGAACCGTCAAATGTTTTGTTGCAAATAGTCAATAGGGTCACATGTTAAGAGGAAAAAAAAGATGTAAATTAACTGCCAAAAGTTTGAGAAGAGTTGAATGAGGCAAATGATTTGTTACAGAGGTTAATAGTTTTTGAGGAACTGGAT